GATGTCATCAGACGAGATGGTCTAATTGGCCTACTCTAAGGAAAAGACACTCAAGTGCATGTTGGTGTAAATTAGGTGATGGATCACACTTGGTTTTTATCTATAACTCATATTCACACATGTGCACACACCCTTAATCCCTGTAGCCTAGTCCCTGTACCCCCCCCCCCCCCCCTCCACAATCATTCAAACTATACAGCATATCATGAATATATCTAAGCCCATCTTTATATTAGCTGTGTTCTTATCTTTGGTAACCCAGAGTTACTTTCGCTTCAATTCAGACCAAAAATAGAGCCCCATCCATTAATAGTGCTACCCATGTAGAACACACACATATGCACACACACCCACATGGATGAATACACACCCACACACATCCTGCATATACACCAATCTCTTTTCCTCTCTCCGCCTCCCTGGGGAAGCAAAGTCCTGCATCAGCTGCTAAATTGCCTAAACTCTCTCATCTGGTAATGGGCTACCTGTCTTCCTGCGTGTCTGGCTCTCTGTCTACATTAATGAGTTTCTGTTGTCTGTCTGCCTGCCTCTTTGCCTTCCTGAATGTCTGATGTCTTGTCTTTATGTCTGCTGGTTGCTTTGTTTGTCTGTCTCTGACTGTTTCTGCTCCCTTCTGCTCCTGTGCCTCTCATGTCTTTCTGCCTCTTGATTCATAAATCTGTTGGTCTCTGTGTTTTGAGCTGGAAGTCTTTGCTACTCTCTATGACAGTTGTGTTGATGAATCCTCTCTCATACTTATTCCCTCGATGTACACATCTTATAAATAGAAAATGATCAGGTGCTATGTTTTTGATGCTTCAAAACCTGTGGGAAATACAAAACAAAGGATGACTAAGGGAGCCTGCTTACATTTGTATTTCAGTCTTACATACTAGTACTTGTTACTGATCGATCCATCCATCCATCCATCGCCAACCGCTTATCCTGCGTACAGGGTCGCTGGAGCCAATCCCAGCTGACATCGGGCGCAAGGCGGGGTACACCCTGGACAGGTCGCTAGTCCATCGCAGGGCCACACATAGACGAACAACCACTCACACTCACACCTAAGGACAAATTAGGGTCACCAATCAACCTTTGGATGGTGGGAGGAAGCCGGAGCACCCGGAGAGAACCCACACAGACACGGGGAGAACATGCAAACTCTGCACAGAAAGGCCGGGGCAACCGGGGTTTGAACCCACAACCTTCTTGTTGTGAGGCAACAGTGCTAACCACTGTAGTACAAAAATGCTAGTTACAGTTACATTAGTTATATCAGAATAGTTGTAGAAGTAGTAAGAGTAGTAAAAGCAGTAATACTAGCTATAGTAGTACTGCTACTAAAAACATGGACTCAAGCTAATTTTATTTATTTTTTATTTTATTAACAGAACAAATGGCAGATAAAGGTATATAAAAACAACATAGGAAGCAATGTGCAGAAGAGGTACAAAACCCCAAAAGGCTTATAGTAGAACCTCCCCTCTAGGATTTACAGTGTATATAATAATACAATTAATAATAGTAAAATAGTAGTAGTAATACTATTATTATTATTAGTATGGAACTATAGTGGTTATACTATTAATAGTTATTACTGTTAGCTCAGGGGGTAGCGACGTCGTCCGTCCATTTATCAGAAAGTCGGTGGCTCGATGCCTGCATGTCGAAGTGTCCTTGGGCAAAACACTGAACCCCAAATTGCTCCCTGTGAATGTGTATGAATTACTCAATTTCTGTTTCTGGTGTCTAGGTGTCACCTAAGCCTCTGCTCATCAGTGTGTGCATGTGTGTGAATGGGTGAATGTGATGTAGTGTAAAGCGCTTTGAGTGGTTGCAAAGACTAGAAAGGCGCTACACAAGTACCATTTACCATTAATATTATTACTGTCGTGTTTGTTTCAATGTGTCCATGTTTATAGTAGTAATGGTACAAGTAGTAGTGATAGAAATGATTATAGCACTAAGAGTCATATACATTCTAGTTATGTTGTAGTCAGCAGTAATAGTGGTTGTAGTGATGCTAATAGCAGGAGAAGTATTTGTGACAAAATTAATATAGTTGCAAGGGCAGTTATTAGTAGTAGCAGTTAAAGTCATATAAGTTATAACTAACACCTAACAGTATTAGTTGTTGTTATTATTAGCAGTAGAAGTACTCGAGACAAAGACTACCACTACTAAGCAGTAATTACAGATAGCAGTACTTAGTAGTAGTAACAGTAATTTGTGGTGTAGTGCTAACAGTAATCAAGTATAATTTGGATGATATGAATAATACATAATATATAAATATTAGATGATCCATAGTATCAGAATATGTAGTTCTAGTACATAGTAAGTAGTTACTACTACTGTAGTTGATGAAACATGGAAGACCTTACTCTTCTTTGCACACCGACAGGCAGACGAGCACAATGGTATGTTGCTATGACAACCAAAACTCGGCATAGTGGGCATGTACCTAGTCGTTGTAATTGTACTAGTAACATCATATCGTATAATTTGTAGATGTCTCCCATTGTACTTTTTTCCTTTGTGTCGTCCCCTTTTTGTCATCAGTCAACACAATTCTCCTGAATAGAGTATTTCTTTTTCTTCAGTCTTACCTTTTCTGTGATCTCGATGTCATCTCTGTTGTGCCCCACCACTCTTTAAGAGGAGAGTGTGTATGCCATTACAGTGCACAGTTATAGTCATGAGCGCAAGACATTTTCGAGTGAAACAGGCCCACAGTATGTACAAATAGCACAATAGAGGAATGTCTCTGCAATATTAACATAGGATATGTTCATATTGATGCCTACTAGTGTGTGTGTTGGATGCATACTTTCTGCTTCCCTCATATGTTAGAATACAATAAAGTTAATGTTTTTCTGTGTCTTTGTCTGTCCTTCACTTTTTCTCCACTGCTCCTTTATTGTCTGTCCATTTTTCACTCCCTCTCTTCCCCTCTGATGTCAGCCTATTTCATGAACCGTATCATAAATAGAGCCCCATTGACATTTCAATTTGCCCCATAACCCTTCATATATATATGTGCACACTCACATGCACACAAACACACACACACACACACACACACACACACACGCACATACACACACACCTATACATACCAAGTTCATTGCTGAGCATCAGTTCAGTGGCAGGCCTCTCCTGGGTTTCCACAGAGACAAGGAAAAGCAATAACTGCACACTTGACCTCTCTACTCTTTTATTGGCCTCTTCTCCCCTTCACACACACACATACACACACACACACACACACACACACACACACACACATACACTCACACACCTCAAATCTAATCTGGGAGAGTGAGCCTCCATGCCCATATTCCTCCATCCTCCCCTGAGGATTGGAGAAAGAGCAGGGAAAAGAGGAAGTTAATAATTTCATCTTGCAGTGACCTGGAGACGATAAGATCGATTGTTTGGCTCTTGTAGTCTCCTCATATCACACACTCTCACACACACACACACACACACACACACACACACACACACACACACACACACACACACACACACACACAGACTCATGCAGCTAGGCGGAAACACACTCTACACACACAGATCATCACAGTTTCCCATCCTCTCTCTTGCTCTTTTATGCTCTCTCTGCCTCCCTCTCTGTCTGTCACACACATTCAGCAAAAGGCCTAACAACTTACTGAAACGATTGTGAGGGATGAGGAGAAAACTGTGGGCAGGGGGGAAAAGAGTGTGAGTGAGAGAAAGCTGGAGAATAACACTGGGCCAAAGGGGGAGAGAGGGAAAGAGAGAGTGAAAGAAAATATTAGGAGAAACGACAGGCCAGCCTTAGCGACAAGGCTGTTTACTGTTTATTTTGGTCTCCGAGCTCATTTCTCTTCATATTGGCAGAGTCGAGATGATTTCCTTCTCGCTGTTTATTCCTGTGTGGATATCTTGTGTTGCGTGTTTTTTTGTGTAAGAGTTTGTGTTTCTGTGTATGTGTGTGCACATGCGTATATTAGTGTGTCCTCTGTTTGCCTCATCTAAGATCATCTATGTGAACTCAATCTTTCCACAATCATCGGTTGTTATGGTATCTTCACGGAACATCAAGGTCCCAGTGTGGGATTTCCTATCTTTCTTTCCAAACCTACACAAACAGTTCCTGAGTAGATCACATACTTGAACGCATTCTATCTTCAGGGGTTCGTGTAAAATGTAGAATGCCCAATTAAGCATGCATGTTCTGTGGATAAATACAAGTTAAATCAAGCACTTACTAAGAGATTGTGGATTCAACCAATCCAGGTGTCAGTATCACCTAAGAAGCTCAGCGTGTGCTCGTTATCATTATCTCAGACACACACAGCTGAAGAGTTTATTTAAATAACCATGAAAGCATTCAGTGGAATTTATTTTCATGTTTTACAACCCAGCTTTGCCCCCCATCTGCCGTTCTTTGTGCAAACAGAAATATGAAACTTTGAAATCTAAATTATGATCCGTTTGTTTGTGTGTGGAGTGTATGTGTGTGTGTGTGTGTGTGTGTGTGTGTGTGTGTATTTGACACTTTTACAATATATCCTGAGTGACCACACTCGAAAGCTGAAGCTAGGTCTCCACAGTACATGAGAACAATAAGAGCTTACTCATGATGAATTCTCCCTCTTAGTAATCAGGTCAGGGTCGATTGGATTGTCTCTTGTATGTGTGGAGTGTTTGTTTGTGTGTGTGTGTGTTTGTGCCTGAGTGATTGTGTGGATGGCAGCACACAGTGTTACTTCCCTGCAGTGTTGCCTTCTGTAACACAGGTGTGTGTGTTTCTGTAAACGACGCTCTGCTGTAGCTAGGAACCACACACCCATATGATATTATTATACTGTTGCAAGATTGTTTTCTGCTCTACAATGAAGTATTATTTCAGCATCATTTTGTCAAATCTCTATGGGATGTACCTGAATAAATAAAACTGTCCATTACAGTGTGAATACACTATGTTTTCCTCTTTTTCCATGCAGTTCTCCAAGGAGAAGTACCTGCTGGAGTCTCCTCCCGAGAAACTTCGTAAGGAGCTGGAGGAGGAGCTGAAATTAAGCGTTGCTGACATCAGAAGCCATGGCTGGTACCATGGACACATACCGAGAGAGGTATAAACACACTGTGCACCGTAGGATCGGTGTACATGCACCATAGAGTAAATCCGGTTAGTCATGATAGTGCAAATCCTGAATGGATGTTTGAGAATAGATGGTTACAAGGCAATAAACCACAGTATGTCCCAGCACGTGCAATGGTACACACAAACTTACACTAGCCCTTTGCAGGAACACATACTAGAGCTGAAACGATTTGTGGATTAATGGATTACAAGATATTTGTAGATGTCATCTATAATTTGGGGCATTATTCACAAATTTTCTGACATTTCTTTGACAAAATCAGTCAATAAATTGAGAACATAATTGGCAGATAATTGCAGATTGATTGCAGACAGCCCTAATGTATATACAAATCGCAATTTTAACAAAGGTTTCTGCTTTAAAACTGTGAGAATTTACACTGTTTTCTGTTATGTCATTGGAAAATTTTTTTTACAGATGAGTCGAAAATTAAAACAATCATTATTTGCAGCACTGCAGCTCTAGCTGTACAAGTCTAATGTGTTTCAGCTAACACACTGAACTTTCATACTTAAAAAAGCCAAAACTTAATTTATTAATAGCAATTGATCAGTTTCAAACTTTAGTTATCAAGAAACTCACTAAAATATAAAGCTTCATGTCATGTCTTCCAGTCCCTGCAGCAGTGAAATCTATTATGAATAAATTTCTCACGTTTCATGATATATTTTTAAAAGCCAGAATTAAATGAGATAAAAGCACACACATAATAGTATTTCAGTGTGGGTTGATTGTGGTTGTCAACCAGTAGTATTAGTTGAGCGCTTACTTGGCCAAAGTCTCTGGCTTTGAAAGCACAGTTTAAATGCTTTACAAACAGAATGACACTGATTAATGAATCCTATCATTTGTCACAGCTCAGTAGAAATTGCTTTAGCGTTCAGAAGGAGGGGAACCACTGCCAAACAGACAGCTGCACGTGTTGCTGATGTAGGCAATTGCTTTTCGCAGCTGGTGACTAAGACACAGATACACACAACCGACCTGCACCCACACACACACACACACAAACACACACTGCAGGCACATGTGGAGGGTACAACCTCTGTCTCTTAATCAACCTCTGTCTCAAACACACACACGCACACACACAAACACAGATTCAAATCAGCCATCTGTGAGTCTTTCCTCTTTTAATTTACATAAAATATTCATGGATTCATGGATTTGCCCCAGTGTAAACTTGGGGAAACCCTGAGCCCCCTGGTTACCAAAACAATATTTATTGACTAGATTTTACACACATCCTGTGTGTTGCTGTGCTGTACATTAGCTTCCCTAAATCCCATCCTTCCTCCTTCTTGCTTTTCTTCTGTTCTTTTCCCTTTGAAGTGAAGACACACACGTCATAAGTGTAAGGAACAATGTGGCCTTCCTTTTAGTCATATAATTTTATATATTGAGTTCCAGGAAGTGTAAAACATGATATATTCTTATATGCAGTTCGGGATAAGATAGAATAAGCTACAAAAAGAGACAAATGTTTAGCAATGAGAGAGACAAGAGCATCCTCAACTTGGTTTGAGCTTTTGATTGTGTATATACTGCCACCTGCTGGTCAGTGACACTCTGGGACCACTGTGTACCTTCATCAGCAGTGTCTCTCTGCAGGTAGTTTTAAAGGGAATACTGCTCAGTTTGAAATATGTTTCTCTTTTACTACACGGCTACTAGATCAATATTTGTGATCTCTCTTCTGCAGTGTTTGGTATCAGCAAGATGTACAGCCTGAAGCTGTTCCATTGACCATGGATGTGGAGATTGCTTTTCTTTATTGCTTTTTTGTCTATACATTCGAAACAACTTAAATTTTTTTACAATAGCTGAACTGGATAAAATGTATCCTCAGAAAGTCATTGCAGCCATTGTTGCTGGCATTTTATCCATTAATTCAAACTGTGCACAGACAGTTTGGCAGTGAGAGAAACTGTCCTAAGGCATTTTTATAATTAATCATGATTCTCTAAATTCAATTATTCAGCAGTCAAAGTGTCTGAAACAAAATATTCGCACCCCAACCTTTAAGGATTGGAAAATTTTTGACCTGTTTTTCCAACTTAAAACCATATGCATCATCTGTCTAGGTGTCAGAAACTCTGGTTCTGCGTAATGGAGATTTCCTTGTGCGCGACTCTCTGACCAGCGTGGGTGACTATGTACTGACCTGTCGATGGGATAATGAGGTGCTGCACTTCAAGATCAGCAAAGTCCTGGTCAAATCCAATGACACCAAGGTACTTAATTCTTTTACTAGCTGTTTTAGCACTCATCACCTAACAGTCAACAATCACTTTATTTTAATACGCTTATATGTCACGCCTTTTGCCTTGTTGTTAAATTTGATCTCATATTTTTGTATTCAATGATTTTACCTTTTAAATCTTGTGGTGCTTTGCATTTAATTTATATTCTATAGGCATTAAAGACAGTGGAGCTGAATCTGCCGTTGTTGTTGCCTATTCTCTCTAATTTATTTAATGCCAAAAGATCAACCCTTCATCACTCAGAAAGTCAGTCGGTCCTTTTTGGGGTGGGAGCAGAAAGTGCACAGATGTAAACGATAACAGTAGCCACGGCTCTGTTCCATTTAGGTGTCTTAGCCAATGCTTTGCCAGTGATTTAGCATACAGGATACAGCATATATTTAGCATATAATCTGAAATTTTAGTGATTTTGGTACAAAAGAGAACACTGGTCTCACTGAGGCAAAATTTAGGCTTCAGTGTGTCCATAGCACAAGCTAATTGCAGCAGGTATGCAATACATAATATGTTATATTAAATTCTACTGGATGTATATTCTCCTTGTCTTCAGGTGCAGTATGTATTGGAGTCTGACAGTTTCGACTCGGTCCAAGAGCTTGTGCGGTTTTACGTGGGCCAGCGTAAACCGGTCTCCCAGTCCAGCGGTGTCCACATCTACTGTCCAGTCAGCAGGACTCTCCCTCTGCGCTACCTGGAGGCCACCTTTGCTCTGGCCAACAGCAAGCAAGGCTCCGCCTACTCGCCGTCCAGTCAGAGGGGAGCGTACATTAAGAGAAGGAGCGTCACCATGACTGATGGGCTGACGACTGAGAAGATGATGCCTCACAGGTGAGCCAGGAGGAAGAGGAGTGGAGTGAGCAGCCAATAATAAAACCCTGACTATTCTTTTTTTGCAGTCTTCATCATATTTGTCATTGTTTCATTCTTGCTTTATGTTATATACACAATCAGTGACTCAGAGAGTCCCAGTCCAGTTAAGACGCCAGTGGCACCACCAGAACCAGAGCCGGAACCTGTGCCCAACTGCAGGTTGTGTGTGTGTGTGTGTGACACTAGTGTTGTGTTTGAGCACTAAACTAGCTCACTTACCTCCCACATTCCTGTGGTCCCCTCACTTCACAGACACCCTAACCCCATCCCCTAGTAATGAGCATCAAGTCCTGTCCCCAGAGACACTTTTGGACTGGATCACTTGAGTTTCAAACAGAACAAGGCTAAAACTTGAATCTACAAAGAAGGAGTAGACAAATATGTTGTGCACAGTGGAAATCAGTGCCTCATAGTGAGTATGGGAAGGAGTTGAGCAAGCTTATGAAGCATGGGACAAAACCAATGCCAAGGACACACTGGCATGCATTTGCATGATTATTGAAAACATTTCCTGGTGTTAATGCACTAAAATAGCGATAATGCACCTTAAACATTAGCTAGGTATTACTTTTTTGCAGGTTGTCTTTTCTTAAGAAGCCACATTATACAACATTCTGTATTCCTGCTTTAAAGCCCTAAACATGGTTTTAATACTAAATAAACTTAACTTACTGAATTCATAAACACAAGAATATGTGTGAATCATGACGTATAAGAAAGGTTGCACCAACTAAAATCTTTCCCTCTTCTCTCACCTTACACAGCATTTGCATCCGTAACAACACTATTCCTGTCATCTTATAAATGTGACATCCTGAACTGCACTGCTTTGTGGGGTTTAATTCAGTACCCTGACAACTTTTAAATCCTTAGCCAAAGAAGATTTTTTAACATCCTTAAAATGCTGTGTTTGCAGCCCGTCGACAATCCACCACCATAAAGACGCAATGCGGAACTGTGCGATGAGCATGGACCAGATTCAGGAGTATCGCTGCCCCTTGTCACCTGTTGGCGAAACCCCGCTGTCTCCTGCATATAGTGCCAGTAAGTGCCAGAGAAACACAACTCAAGACACACTCACAATCACACTCACAAACAGTCTGATATCTTAAGACTTTTCTTTCTTTCTTTAGTCACCAGGCAGAGAGTCCACTCAGGCGGGCGGGTCCTGGCTGTTTGTCCCACCCTCCCCTGTGATGCGCCGTTCCAGCGACCCTCAGCTCAGCCCCTCAGCCTGTGACAACCCTCCGGAGCATCCCGTACATACCTCTCAGTCGGCACACTCCTCGCCTGCCCATCACCCCAGCTACCAATCACATTCCTCAGAAACAGCGGGGAGCTACTGTGACCTTAGACCTTGCCCCGTCGGGCCCCCTAAACCCCCGACTAAGAGCTATGTGGAGCGGTTGCGAGTGGAAGAAGGGAGGCAGGACGGACCAAGGGAGGAAGGAGATGGGATGTTCAGTGCCCCACAGGTGGAGACGGCGTCCTCATTCAGGCCATCCAGGTACGAGATACATACACACTTCTAAAATTGGACTTTATGGTGTTTCCAAAGGACACACATCTCTTTCATCTTGATTTGGTGTGTGAAGGGAGGGAGGGAGTCCTACCACTATTTACCTCTTAAGAAAAATGACTTTAGGTGACAAGAAATTCAGAAACTAAATCAGGAGTATGTTACATGCTTTGAGGGCTAATAGGTTGTTTACACTGTCAAAAACTTGGTAGACCGTTTGAAAACTTTTAAATGCGTTGTGGATGGGTGGAGTTGCAAACTGTCATCTTGAGCAACAAAGACCGAGTATGTAAACCATATAGTTAGAAACTTTCTGAAAATAGTACACAACATGACACTATTTGAAGGCCAATGGTGAAGGCCGCTTCTGCATGAGTCATTCTTGTTTTATTCCTCTCTTTGAGTGAGAAATTATATAATGAGGAAAATCTGTATTACATTGAATTAGTTTCATTATCTGTTTGCTAAGGCTGAATGCACATTTAAAGAATTGTTGTCATGTCCATAGGAAGAAGTCCAGGTACAGAAATATGGCCTTCCTGAACGACTAGTGACTTATGGCAGGACTTTCAGCTGAGTCAGATTGGTGTGCTCAGTAGACATTGAAAATACTTCCACTGAACTATTGATCAAGAAGACTGCTGCTTGAATGGAACTAAAAAGAAGCAGTTTAATAGATAAGTTAGAGCTCAAAAGTAATATAAATGTAGGCCGATATAACAAGGAATGCAGGAGACAACTTTTGTAGCAAACAGCGTAGCGGACTGCTGCCCAGCTTTTACTACACTGAAGCATATTCTCTCAGGATGTCAGGTTGGTGTGCTCAAAAGTCAGTACACCTGCTGACATTTTGTCACAGCGGACAAAAATATGGGAGTGAGGCAATTTTGACCGGACACTGCAGTACAGAGACGGGAAAACAGACTTGAGTAAACAACTGATAATCCTGTGGGAAATAGCCTTAGGGTAGACTAAGATACTGTATTTCATTGGACTTACGGAGCAACAGGAGGACACAGCAGATGAGGCTTGTAAAAAGAAAATGGACAGGTACACTGAGTTGGCAGCAGTGATGGAGCAGGCAGTAGCTCAGGACATCTAAGCGTCCCCTGTGAAACTTTGGCACAGAGCGGTTACTGTTAGTGTTAACACTAGTGGGGAAATGGACTCTTAAGCCAGTAAAAACTACTTATGTTTTGAGCCTGTGACTGGCTGGTTGAAGGGAAAGCAAAATTATTGGGACACAATGTTACAACTAGTGTCACATTGCTTGAAATATATACTGTGTATTTGGTTTGGTTTGCTGATGTATTAGTCCAGTTTGTCATCCAGTCTGACAGATCTATGACAGAGCGTCAGGTGCATTCACTGAAAAATTGTGTTAGTAGTAAGCTTTGAGCTCTACATTATTGGTTTATAATGTGTCACATCAGTTCATAAAAGTAATTCAACAAATAACCTAAAGACCCCTTCAGTTACAGGACTCCTTTGTAACTAACAAGAAATTGCACAACAAAAATGACACTGTACAGCAGGGGTCGGCAAGTAGGTCTGGCATCGGGCCAGATTTTTTTCAAGTCATTAGATGGTGGGGCAGAACACAGTCAATTAATTTTTTATAATCCATTTTCATTGCGTACCTGTTTATCTCAGTTAGCAGTGCACAGGACTCCAGTTCAAAGGATTATGTGTTCAATCCCTACTTGCTGGTAGTGTTATTTTTCTCCCTTTTCAACAAATTGATTATGAAGAAATCATTTTACATGTTCACAATTAAGCATGTGCAGGAGTGTGCCTCCCAGCGATTGGTCCACATCAACCTACATACAAACTGTAAAGATCTTTATAAAGAATAAGCTTTATGACAATATATTGTTCTAAAGATTTTTAAACTCTCAGATATCGTATGTCAATCCCTATTACAACATGATCAACTTAAAGTCATAAACTACGCATCTCCTTTGAACCAAAGAACTGGACCACTGGGTGAGCCCACCAGGTTACAAACCATTCTGTTGTAACCTATTTATCTTTACAACACTCTTTTCTTTTGCAGCCCTTGCCAGTGCTCATGCCCTGTCCTTGTTCAGTATTTTCTAATATGGTGTAATCGCCCCTGTGCAGGTATGAGTCTTGTCTTATGCCAGCTGAGAATAAGCCTCTGGAGATGTCTGTACTGAAGAGAGTCAAAGAGCTGCTGGCTGAGGTGGATGCAAGGACTGCAGCTAAACATATCACCATGGCAGACTGCAAGGTACACACCAACACACACACACACACACACACACACACACACACACACACTCACACGCACACAAATACACGCATACCCAAATAAAAAAATCACATTCACACACACTGACTTGCATCAATCATACAGTAAATGCACAAATGTGAACACCAATAGGCATGCATGCATGTATGCACACATAAATGTAAACACACAAACGAATACGCGCACTAACAAATACCTGCACACACAGCACACACGTACAACTAAACATTTTTTCATCCTTGTGGACAGGTGGCTAGAATAATAGGTGTAACCTCAGACCTGCAAAGGATGATGGGAGTGTCCTCAGGGTTGGAGTTACTGACACTACCACATGGACACCAGCTAAGACTTGACCTACTGGAGAGGTAAAAGAAAACACACCTTTTTCCCCCACTGTCAACTGACTAACATTCATTAATTCAACTATTGATTATCTGTGCTCATTTATTCTTCTCCTCCATCCCCTCTCTTCTCTTCCCTCTACCCTGCAAATCTCTTTTTACTTTCTTCTGTTCCACCTCTTTTTTCCCTCTCCTTTCATATGGCTGGTTATACAACACATCTTTGCATGACTTCCTCTTCCTTAACTTTGCTTGAGTGCTTGAAATAATATATATTTCATCAACATCTGAAGGATCCGTCAGATTACATCACTCTATTATACACTACAATCTGACATTATGTGAATTTCCTGAATGGCTTTCAAAATAAGCCATAAATAACATCCTCTGCTTCCCTATCAGCAGCAGTAATTCACTTGTATTATTAAGTTTTATTGAAAAGCTCATTCTTCTTTTCTCAGGTTCTACACCATGTCGATCATGATGGCAGTGGACCTGCTAGGTTGCACAGGAAGCACAGAGGAGAGGGCGGCCCTACTCCACAAGACCATCCAATTGGCAGCAGAGTTGAAAAGCAACCTGGGTAACATGTTTGGCTTTGCTGCTGTGATGAGAGCCCTGGAGCTGCCGCAGGTAAGAAGGAGATAGAAGTCACCATCATTAGCACAAAAACAAAGGTTTTCAAAGAATATTTTTTCAAAAAATGTTTGTTGTATCGCTCATTATGTTAGATATCCCGCCTGGAGCAGACGTGGGTGACTTTACGCCAGAGACACACAGAGGGCGCTATTTTATATGAGAAGAAACTCAAACCTTTCATGAAGAATATGAACGATGGCAAAGGTGAGATCCTAGTTTATATGGCCGTGTGCAAAATGTGCAAGTGTGCTTTTAATTACAACTCTCAACTCACCTTTGCATACAGAGTCCAGCGCCTTGTCCAACACCTCCATCCCACACATCATTCCTGTCCTGTCCTTATTGGAGCGGGGAATGGCTCTCGGGGAGGCACCGGAGCCCTGGGAGAGTGCAGAGGTGGGAGTAGACGTGGTCATGTACCACCTAGAGGCAGCTCGTACTATCGCACATCACGGGGGGATCTATAGAACCAACGCTGAGACCAAACTGCAGGGTAAGGCAGAAGGCAGTCTTTGGAAGCACAACAGCATCGGTGTTATTTTTAGCCATGTTATGTATATGTATATATGTTTGTCAGTCTGTTGGTCAGTTGGGCATTTTGGCCATCCTCCTCTCTGGTACAGCAACTGGATGGATTGCCATTTTGCACATTCATGATCCCCAGAGGATAGTGACGTGTGATACCACTTAATTCCTATATAATCCAATACCAAATAATACCCAGGCTGGTATTGCCGATACCGATACCAATACCAATACTTTTTACATATTTTATTTCTAGTTTAATGTGACCTCCCCTCCTCTGTATTTATGAGATAAATAAGAAGTAGGCTGTAGCGTTACCAATTCAAAATAATAGCTGCATAATGACAAGACATCAAACTACTGTCATATTCTTTAATTATAGCCTAAAAAAAATATCCTGCTCAGAACTGCTGCTTCATAACATCATCCTATTATTGTGACAGACTTAATCTCAGATGTTTAGCGAAGTTTGCAGTGTTGTCAAAGTATTTCACTGTCTTTGCTCACATCACACACAGCATCATTATTACCGTCACAGCTAATATACAGCCAGACGTGACTGTTTCTACAGTCAGCCAGATTCAGTATTTAATCGCGGGAAATGTAAAGGGCTACAGCAGTTCACTTCAAAGAAGCTCCTTTGACTTGTACCTGTAGCATCAATAGCAGCTCACAGTTCTCACCTATCCAGTAAAATTTCTCAGTACTAGATGGATTGGCAAAAAATGTTGTACAGACATTCATGGTTCCCAGACAAATCCTAAAGATTTTTGTTGTGAGATTTCTCTGCAACTATTGGATGGATTGTATTTGGTACACACATTCATGTTCCCCCCCAGGATGAATTGTAATAACATTAAAACAATAAGTTTTAATGACCAAATACCTGCAGAACTGATGACTTTCCCATCAGCCTCAGCTGTATTTCTTGTTCATTGCTAATTGACCAATGTTAGCATGCTCCCACTCTAAACTAAGACATTGTCATTGTGACCATGTTCGTATACTAATACGATACTTTAGCATTTAACCCAAAGCATCACTGTGCCCGAGTAAAGCCTCCCAGGAGTGCTAGCATGGCTGTAGAATCTTGTTTTAAATAAAAAAAATGCATCTACCTTGTGAGCTGTAGAATTTTGGGGGGAATAACGTATGTTTTCTCTACACCTCTATAACTCTCATACTGTTTGGTTTAAGCTCATTAATACAGTTAATCATGTTAATTATTTCATCCAAGTCAACCATGACAAATGATGAAAATAAGCCATTTTATCGCTACATGCTGCAGCTGGTATTGTGTGTTACATGTTATGCTGTTACTGTATTACTATTAATAATAATGATCGTTTTTGGTATTAGTGTTACCACGACATCACTGATTTGACGTAATGATTGTGTGTGTGTGTGTGTGTGTGTGTGTGTGTGGTTACTATGTTAACTGTATTGATCCCTAATACCTCCCCAGTGATCCTCAGTTTGAGGCCATTAATGCTTTATCGAACCGTGTCAATAGCTATCAGCTCACATCTCTGTGTTGTGTTATATCTCACTATCGATCAGCCTGACCTCAGTCTGCTCCCGTCATCAACAATGCTATGAGCCAATGTCGAGATGCTTACTTCATACATTGTTAAAACTGGTTCATCTCAGGATGTTTATCTTCAAGTGTTGTTCATCAATAGGTTAGGTTTAGGGAGTATGAATTTCTAAGGAATGTATTATATACTGTACTGTACACAAGGCACACAGGTTAAATTCCCTGTAGCCTTATTGCAATGACCAACAGAATGATGATATTTAAGCATGGAATAGTATGTGTGACAAAATAATCTCTTCTCAAATGTCCACTTTTGAGACCTTTAAACCTTATTTCACAGTCTTCACCAGCAAATGTAACTGGTTCAAGTGTCGTCCCTTGACCTGGAGTGTGGAAAGTCTGTCACGTGGTAATAAATAGTCATATAGAGGGGAGAAGAGCACATATGAAGATCATGAGATATGATTGAAATATAGAGCATTTTCAGTGAATATTTTCAAACTGAAGACTTTCCCCATGTAATTTCTTTAAGTTAGTTAATTTTATTAGTTGACAAAATCAGCTACATTTCAGTTTTAGTTTTTCCACACTCTTTTTTTTGTTTTTATTTTATTATCCAATCAAGGATTTTTTTAGTAACACTTTTAAATGAATTTTTGTTATTTCCTGTCAACCATGATTGTCATACAATGTCATCTCCAAGAGTAACATCCTCTCCTCTCCTCTCCAGGATTCCAGGAGCGAGCAGAAATACACGATATCTTCCAGACAGAGTTTCAGATGCGTCTTTTGTGGGGCAGCCGTGGCTCTGAGGGCAGCCAATCAGAGCGTTACGAGAAGTTTGACAAGGTCCTCACCGCCCTATCACACAAGCTAGAGCCTCTTGTGCGCCACAGCGAGCTATAGCACCTGCCCCAACACTCGCCACAGCTGAAACACCCCCATTTGCACTCACCACTCATCGTGGTATGGTCTTGTTTTGCATCGCGAAGGATGATGTGGAAGAGTATGGCGTGAACACTGGGAGGGGTGAGAGTGACAGAAGAGGCAGCTAACAGAGCATGTAAAGTGAGCAATAGGAATACAGAAAAGAGGGTCTCACTTATAACACGTGTTGCACTTCTCCTTCTGTTCCTCCCTGTGGACTTCCTCATTTAGTGCTAAAATATTTAAATGGCATGAGTGAGGAGAAAAGCTAACTGGAAAAGAAGATGGGAGAGATGGATGACCACCTCCTCTACTTGGTGAAAAACAGTAACATGTGTACAGTGTGTCCAGAGGGCCAAACAGAGCTGCAGAGTTTGGCTTTGGTCCAATGAAACTCAGACACTCTCTTGTTTCAAACAACTGCTGTCACACACTGTAGCAGGAATGATAACAATAACTTACATAGCTCATATATAGATATTTGTGTGGGTGAGTGAGTGAGTGAGTGAGTGTGTTTTGGTATGTATGTTTCCATTCCTTAATTTTTTGTATGGCATTAATGTTTCATGTGGGTTTTGTTTGTGTCTTATTGATTTGTTTTGATCAAAAGATAGCTAAACATCATGGACGCTGCTCCACCGACCTCACGAGAATCTGTCAGTGCTCATGCTGAGGGAACCATGTTCATAAAACCTCATTAAATATGTATCAAGCAGTCCCATTGAATCCCATTAAAAATGTATCAGGCATGCATTAATAAATGTATCAGAAATGAAACATTTGCAGAAGTAATGCAGCAACTTCAATACGAGGGCTTTGTGAGTTGTTAAAAACATTAAGAGGACAAAGCAACCTCCCTCTGTTGTGGCTGTTTGACTAATACTTTTGATATTGTGTGTCTTGTGCACAAACGTTGCTGAAACAGCGCTGTGAGACAAATGGGATGCTCAGTATTTAAATTTAAAGCAATGTTTCACTTAGTATATAAACATTTATGAACGTGTATAACTCTAGTTTAAGTTACTAAATTTGCATAAATAATACAGTAAAATGTTGCTTTAAACTAATAATTTAAATATAGCAATGTGTCAAATGTGAGAAAAAATACAGATGATACAGTTCATGTCTGTGGACAATCTTGAATGACAGAAAAATCTGTCATCTTTCACATTTCTTTTTTTTGAAAGCCAATGAATGATTCCCAAACCAAATCAAACAAGGACATTTTGACCACAGCCCTGCTACAGAGAATGTCTATTGGTTGTGTGTTTTGAATTTGTGTTTCTGCAACATAGCTAAGAATCTTTTTACAGCTATGTGATTACATTTCGGTTGAATGTTCAGTGTAAAATCATTGCTGTATTTACAGCATGTGGGCCTGAGAGGGCTTGAGCTAACTCTCAGAGCTATGCAACCATTTCAACCAAGGGCTGAGACCCCTGAGGAACAGACTCTCATTCAGAATGTATTAGAAAAAAAATCTTTTTCACTTTTTGACCTCTACTTCACCTTCTTTTCAAATATCAGTCCTTTTGTTCTTCCTAACTCTATCCAAACCAATAACCTATATATGAATGAAAGTCATATCAATCAAATAATTCTACACATACTACCCTAGAGTCGCAAATCAGAGATCCTCAAATGGAGTCAATGCAGTTTGTGAGGTGAGGAGCCATGTGCCAGTTCCCACTGTGGTCCAACAGGGGGCGATCTTGAGTCAGCAAAAAAACACTGAATCATTAATTGTAATACAATGTCACAGGAAGACCTGTACACACAGGGAAAAAATACATTGATTGTGTGTGTTTTGAGACCAATGTTTGACATCAATGCTATCCGATATCAAACCTACTGGTTTAGGTTTGATATCTGATAACGCTGATGATGAAAAAGTCATGATGGTGATAATATAATATGTATGTTTTTATTTGTCCTCTGTTGAATGCTGTACAGGAATGTGCTGACAGTGTGTGGATTCTCCTGTTTTTGAAAACAGGACTGTATGAAATGAACTTGAAAAGCAAAAAGATAAGAAATGTTTTAGGATTGATCTCATGTTTTTTTACGTACTGTACATAGCGATTCACTTTTTTTCAAATAAAATGAATGCTCGTGTCAAAAGAGTGTGATTTTGTTCAGGAAATAAAGCATACGTGTGTATCGCTTGTATAGTTTTGACTGTGTAATACCTTGCCATTTACAAGTGTAACAGGATGCTGTTCTAAAGTTATTTAGGGAATCTCTTAAATGATCAAATTCAGCTTTAGAGAAAAAGACTAAACCAATAATTAAGTGTTGCCTGCATTGCAAAAGCCTGATATAGTTCATTCCTCAATGACAGTTGTTGTGCAGAAACTGTTAAAAACACATCATTGAGATACACTTCAGACTGTGGCTGAAGTTAGTCCCTAACAAACATTGTTGTAATGTTTGCTCAAAACTGTAGTGCCCAGCTGTTTTAGGAAATATTTAAACCAGTTTAAAAATAAAAATAAATATTTGTGACCTGTTTTTTAAAGAAGTACGTCTTCAATAGTAACGAATGGGCTTAATGCTGAGCGCTACAAACAGCCTGGAGATGTTGGAAAGTATGGAGAGACTGACCAATACATTCTTTTGGTCTTTTCAAGGAATTAGTTGAAAATAATTATTAGAAGAAGAAAATAAGAAAAATAAAGTAGATTGCCCGACTTATCCTTTAAGCTATTTAAATACACACACTCTTTACATTTTTTGTTAATAAGAAAAGATGAAGTTCCAATGAAGATACTTAGCAACAACTATTGTAGAATTGATTAGGATAAACAATTACAGATCCATGTACTTAAAGAGCTTCTGTTGCAATTCATATTGGTAGCCAATAGGGGACAGCATTTCACTGTCAAACCAAAGCTGACCCTTCTCTTATATACAGTTCAGAGTTAATCCTCATCTAGCCAACTGCAGTCCTGAGCATCCTGGCTCCTGGTGCAGTTAAGGTAGAGTTGTAATGGTTCCTCCCCAGGCTGACAAAAACATCCTTGTTAGTCCACTAGTTTCTTGGATCGTGCACCCTCCTAGGCATTTTAGCTACTCTATTAGTATGTTTAAAGTTCATGATGCATAAAAATCTGCAACATATTTTGTGTTTATCTAAAAATGCACTGAATGGTGCACTGAGCATGTGTGTTGAGCAGGGCATCACACATTTTTCTGCAGACAGACCCATGGTGATGGCAGTGGGAGGGAGACAAAGACAGATGGACTGTGTGTGCCTCCATGCAACTGTGAGTGTGTGCTCGTATGTATGCATGCATGCACGTGTTTTTGTATCAAGGTGTGCTTTTGTCAACACGTCTGTGTCTGTGTGTGTGCCACAACACATATGTTGCAGGAATTCTGCTGTTGGTCTTGCTGCTTACTCCCTTCATGAAGAAGGCAGTAGTGCGGCCTGGCTGATGTTACAGTGAGTAGGGGTCGAGGTTATTCCAGGTGGATAATGTCCTGGGAAAAACAGAAAGTAGAAGCATTGATAGCGACATGAAAGCTTTCAAAGCTATCATGTCGAACAGAGAAGTTCAAAACAAAACAGAATACAATAGAATCAAACAGAATTGAGCACAATAGGATGCCCCATAATCTGCTACAAAAGAAAATTATCATTCGCACTGCTCTTTGTCTCCCCTTTCCATACAGTTCCATAGGCGTAACATGTTATGGATGTAATCTCTAAGAGGATTCTCTCTGCTTGGTATCATGGTACATGTTAATTTCAGCTCTTTATGTTCCTTATTGAAACAGACCCAAGATCTCCTAGGCCTGCCAGCCAGCCAACCAGCCAGCCAACCGTCATCAATTCACCCCTAATCTCTCCCCCCAGTCCTTTTACAGCTAATCCATTGTGTTGGTCATTGTCATCTGATCATGTGTGACCCTGGCTGCTTTATAGCCATTGCCTGGCAGAGTAGCATTGACTTTTGACATCCATCTACAGAGCAGATATGGGGGTGGGGGGTTCAAAACTTGCCTCCATTTTAGTGGATTTAAGGTTGTAGTTGTGCTTGATTATGAGACTTCTTAATTTCAAAAAATGTCTAAAAAGTGGATGAGAGTCTGCGGTGAAGATGACAGAAGTTGAGGAGGATATAGGTTGGAATCAAATGTTAGAATAATCTAATGAAAAATGTTTGTACTCATGAACCAGGTGTTGGATCACATTTTTAGGTTGTCCATGCTGGAGATTGTGTAATTTAAAGGGTATATGAATACTCGCATTGGATGATGAGAGCAGATCCTTTTAACAGGGTATTGTGTATTCACATTTGACAAACACAGAATTAAGAATATGACCACAAAAGTTAAGATTAATAGCTATTTGTATAATAATAATAATAATCTTTTTTAAGGCAGCTTAACAAAAGGGGGATGTAAATCAAATACATGTGAAGGCAAATTTTTACAGAGACGAAGATAGCACAAGAAATCCATCAGAGTACAACAGAACTTTACGTAGCCTACCATCCACAGCTTTACTTGATCCTCAAGGCAGCTTAGTAAATGTGACGTGACACCCAGCGATTGTGGGATAATTTCTGGATAACCCATGAAACGTACAGCCATAACAATCCCACACACACCCCATCTTCTGCCCGTTTGTCTCCCTCTGAGCTCACCACATGACTGTTTTCACTTGTGATGATACTCCTCATCCTCAGCTAGGACGACAGACTGCAACCACAAATCGCGCTCATCATGTCTTCATTATCTTTCAGAAACTTCCACTTGGTATCCACCATCAGAGGACCCCCTCGTTTTCCCGCCTGCCTCTCCATCCACGCCTCGCTCTTCCCAACCCCCCTACCCCCACCCCGATCTGTCTATCTGCCCCTGCACTGACTCCTCATTAACACATGAATGAAGGCAGGGAAGGGCCTGCTAAGGCTTGGACGCCAACAGAAGGCAGTGGATTTGCAATTCAAACCTCTGACCGACTCTCTCCCACCCCCACCTCATCCTCTCTGTATATAAGACTGGGACTGGAACTGTCACCAGTATGATTGAGGGTGTATGTAAGGAGAGAGAGAGGGATAGCGAGAGACAGATGTACATTCGCACACTCATGTTATGCCTCTGCACATTTTCATATTGACATACACAGTTCAAATACTGTTGTGTATACTAACAACTTTCCAGTATAATGATTTTCTAAAATGAAGTTAAGTCCAAGGGAATACCAGTTCATACATAGGGACGCTGTCATAGGGCTTAGTAGTTAGACAGCATTTGGCTTAGAAACAAGTGAATCTGGTCATTTAACCTGATCACGAAAGGTCGGGGAAGTCCATAAGAGCAAGGCCCTCAATCACAACTTGGGAAAAAATAGGTCAAGTCTGGCCTAAAATGATAATTTAAGTCCCTACACTACAGGTGTTTAGATAACAATATAATTTTAAAAAGTCTCATTAAGTAGGCCTATGCTGCTGCTCGACCAAGAAACTGACCAAATCACACAGGTCTCTGCACTGGCTTCCAATGTGTCAGAGAGAAGACTTTAAAGTTCTGCTGCTGGTATAAACATCTCTGAGTGGCTTATGACCAAAATACCTCTCTGAATGTCCTTTACCCCACGAACCCTCTGGCTTCTAAGATGCCTTTGATTAAACCTTAAATACTAATCATGAACCGTCTTGTTTGCCTACACTATTTTTACTGTATGTCTTTCTTTTAAAGGTTTTCCATTCTTTTATTTATGTATGAAATGTGCTACACAAATAAAGTCACTTCACCTTGGGATAAAGGAGTTGGTATTTGCAAAACTGACTGTACAGTAGAAGCACTGCAAGTATACAGAACAGAACAATGTCCAGAATGAGTATTCATATGATCAAGTTAACAAAAAACCCAACTCCTTAGCTCCTCATGTTGAGGGCAATATGAAAAACAACACATAACATAAAATCAAAGTAACTGAGCAACAATATTTTTATAACTAGTTAAAAACTACCCGGTAACCAAATCATAAGCAAAATATTTACACTGGTGAATTACAGAGAAATTACCTACACACAATTTTATTATTATATATTATTATATTATTATTTATATATATATTATAATATTTTTGCAACACTCATTCACACTGACACTACACAGGCAATATTGTGAATAGGGAATAGGTTGATTTTGTGTTTTCTTCATTATACAAGGCTATAATGTAGTAGTGTTATCTTTTTTTTTCTAACATTCTGAATTACTATAAATAAATTGTTAACTCTGTACAACATGCTTTAGCAACACTGTGCATGATTATGGTCATGCCAATAAAATTGGAACATTGAACTTCAATAGGTGGAAGAAAGAAAGAAAGCAAGAGGTGGATATTATCAATTAAATAACAATATGTGTCTTTAGTTATAAAATACATTGTTTATTCAAAAATAATTATAAGTTTGCTGATTATTTCATGTCTCAGGTTAACTAAGTGGAAAGTTGTACGAAATTTGTACCAAATACGTCACTTCCGACTTCTCTCTCCATTACTTCCTGTATGTGCCGACAACATGGCAGCGCCCACAGCGATACACCTGGAGTTCGGGTAGGCGAATTTAAAACTCTTTGTTATAGTTTTGCCTGCCTGTTTTGATGTTCTGTCGCCACTCATGCGGAAATAAAATGTTTACTTAAGTTTATGTTTTTATATCGTTATCCTTCGTTTATTTAAACACGAGCTCAAACCAGTGTGACAGCTCGCTGCCTACCAGTTTTGAGTTTGTTTATGAAATATCCATCAGCTTGTGGTCCGCTTCTTCACTCTGACTAGACAGGGACAGACAGAGGTGTGGTGGCTCAACACACTTTAGAAAATGAGCAACTCTCGTATAACGTTACACAGCCACAGAACTGAACCTAACAAAAGATAACACTGCTGGCAGCTGAGTAACATTCATTCTCATTCTGACCATGCTGCACTGTGGACGCTGTAAAACATATAAAACTGTGAGATTGTCTCGCACACAGACCTCCTGCAGCTCAGCCAGATGTGCAAAGTCAGCCTGGCAAAGCATTATTACTGAACATGCAAACTGCAAAAACAAAATAGACCTTAGACTTGGATTCAAGTCAGACTTGCATCACAAAAACGAGGACTTGAGAATTGACTTCTCCCGCTAAAGCTTTGAATTGAGACTTGACAGCAACCAAGATCAAGTCTCTAGTGTGTGTTTACACTGGGGACGCTGGGGGCATGTCCCCACTGCTTTTTGAAGGGGCTGATTTTGTCCCCATCACTTTTTGAAAGTATTTGTTAAAATGATTCTGATAAATTGCTTGTAATGAGTAATGTTAAATGTTAAATAAATGAAAATACTTTAAGAAAGGTTCATTTGCACAATAAGAAACATTCAATGCAATGTCTAAGAAACAAATCCAACAAATCTAAGAAACAAATGTGCATTGTCCAAGAATGTAAAGTTGCTGATCACTACATTATATTACATTATCATCATATATCACAGTAGTGAATATTTATTCTAGTATCTTCTTGTTTTGCTCACATCTCGGGAGCAAGTGTATTCACTGCACCCCTAATCTGAGCCCTTAAATGTCTCCATCACTTTTCGGCACAAAGTGACGCCTTGTAATTACCTAATATGTTACAGAAAGGAACGTCCCTGTCTTTCAGCCAGTGGACACTGCAGGTCAGCAGAACATGCATGTGGGGAATAATGTTTCCAATAATACATTAATATTTCCTTGGGTTTAATTGGATCTTTTTGAGTCATTAGGATTTTAAACTGAACTGATGAACAGCTGGTTGTAAATTCAACACAAATAACTAAAATAACTAAAAACCGAAATGACTATTTCAGGATCTCTTCAAAGTTATTGCACTCTGTAAACTCTTAGATACATACATAGGATCATAAACTGTGACTGTGAAAGAAGTCTGTGACAGGTAAAATTAATACAAACAAAGACCACCAATTTCTGTAATTACTATAACCCAAACAATAACCTATATCCAATATAAAATAACCAGACTTGCATGTCTGGTTGTGGCTAATCCACTGAATAAAATACCTGACAATTCAAAGTGCTTAATCACTGTGATTTAAAAATACAATATTGTCATAATAAAACTGCCCTGCACAGTGATTTGCAACAATGTCCACAATGGCTCAGCATAGATATAAAAGAGATAACTGTGATAACAGCTATATTGTCCAACCTTAGCTGCACACCACAAACATTTAATTGTTAGGCCTAAGCACTGAAAAGACTTGGTCTAAGCACAAATAATAAATAAACAAATAAATTTCAAATGTAGTGGTCAGCATTCAGAGACATGACAGACTTAAATCTGGGATTGCAGCTTGCTAATAAAGACCTGCGACTAGACTTTGACCTGCCCTGCTTTCCACACGTGACATTTTGTTTATCAGCAGTGTCTTCCACTTATCTTCCGAGTATGCTCAGAGAAATAGCAACTCTGTCTAACTGGGTTTTATACATTTAATCGTGCCACCTGTTTAGGCCGCTTAGATTTCTGTGTGTTGTTTCAATGTGTGCTCTTGTTTTTGTTTTTTTTTGGAATACATTAGATTAGCAGAATAGCCAGTTTTCATGCACTGATGATGAACCCTCTCAAGTATCTAAATGCCCCCTAAACACACTCTTTCATCTGACTCTTTTTTTTTGTCTAGTGGTGGAGCAGAGCTGCTTTTTAATGGTGTGAAGGAACATCATGTGAGTCTTCCAAGCCAGTCTGTGCCTTGTGAGTATCCCCTATCACCTGTACGTATCACATCACCATGTGATGATAATGTTAGATTAACAAAATGGAAATTAGATGTGAGGTTCAGTGTGATGGATTACACATCAAGTTTGCAGCGTCATCAAGTTGACAGTGACGTGCTGACGGAAGTGGAAACCAGTGGCTTCCTGGCAGGTAGAATAAAAGTATTTCAAAAATGTAATATAGGATGGTCCATCAGTTGTATTCACTTCATTCATTCGTTCCTATAGCGTGTAGGATTCCTTCTTCACAGTCAAGAGTTTGTGTTCCTATACACCTCACTGAGGCACTTAAGGTGTGTTCACACAGAAAGCGAGGTTAATATTCGCCTCGCTTTACCCGCACGAGTTTGACCGCTGGACATTTTGAGTGTTCACACACAACGCGATAAGCACACAACCCAACCCAAACACAACCCACGAATTCAACAGCTGTAAACCTTTTGCTGCGATTTATTTACAATAAACGGATCAAACCGATGCCGGACGTCAGCAGGACGACAACTTTTAAAATGTTTGTTTTCTGAATGGAGTTCGGATCGAGCTGGGCTATGCTATGCTAACCTGTTCACAGTGAAGTACAACGACAGCTGGAATAAAGTTACAGACACATATTTTCTGAACTCACTAGACAGCTCAACTTCCTTGTTTTCTTTTCTCCAAGTGATGTCCAGTTTTGTCTGTTTTTTACATAAATATGTAGTAGTAGTCCAACAGAACTCTGGGTGCCATCCGATGCTAACAACAACAGTGGAACCGGAGGTGCACGGAAGCTAACTGCCGAGAAGCGTGAGTGAAGATAAATTGTAAAGTTGTAATCCGAAAAACTAAAGTAAAAAGCTAATTTGATAAAAGCTGTTAACTCTGAGCTCCTCCTGTGGGTAAACGGTGTAGTTGTCAGAGCAGAATCCACACCGACTACGGGTGTTTATTTGTCCGAAAGCTGCAGCGCTCCTCCCCGTCCGCTTCCCCGTTCTTTAGCAGCTCCCCATCGGCCAGTGGATTGTCATTACACTGCTCACCAGGTCCTCTCCAAACAACACTCCGAAGCCGCTGGTGACGTTTGGGTGATTATCTTTTGCAACATCGCATCCATCAAATTTCTCGCTCAAGTTGAAAAATTTTAACTTGCGCGAACCAGCGAATGTCGTGACAAACCCTCCGCCCTCCGAATTTGTAGGAATTTGCCTCTTTGCATTGACTTTGTATGTAATCAAGCCGCCCAAAACGCTGGATTCGCTTTCAGTGTGAACACACCTTTAGGCTTTTTTTAGTGTACAAGAAAATTGTACAAATAGTTACTTAGAGGAGGGTATGGAAATTAAGGTAATCTAAAGAGAAATCACATTAAAATGCAAAACCATCAATATTGTCCTGATTTCACATCATTAGAGCTGTTATCTCAAAACAATAGACAAATGAGTCTTTTTCTAGATCATTATTGCCACATTTAACCTTTATGTAACCTTTTTTTTTATTCTTTTGAGAGACATTATCACCTTTAGAAGACCATCCTGAAATTATGCTTGTAGCAGAGTCCTCTGGCAGTGAACTATGAACAATATGGAACTAAATTTATGTTAGGATTTGGGGAGGATTTTGCAATTTGTTGCATGTGATATACTTTATTTTTGCCTCAGGGCTTTATCTGTTTAGTGTAGCTATCATAGAACTTCTGTAATAGTAGATTATCGAAATGCGTTCCTCCAGAAAGCAGTGATTCTTTCCCTACCTAAAACACTATTTTATTTAAATTTAGGACGTGGCAGAAAATGTTATCTTTTTAAAACATACTTTACTGCATTATAACTGCTAATACATGACAACAATGTTTTAAGAGGACATTATAACTCCATGTTTATAAGACTTCTGAGTGCCACCTTTTGAGGTTTTGTTGTGACATGTTTTTATTTTTTGTTTGTGCTGTTTCTATTTTTTTGTAAAACACTTTGATGGGAAGCACTCTATAGATAAATGTAGTATTATTATTATTATTATTTTATTATTATTATGCTAGTATCATGCAACAAGAAAATCTGGAAACTAGATACTCTGTATTCAGTGTTGATGCAAGCTCTATTATTAATCCATAACCACCAGTTAAAACAAATGTAAATAAGCCATATTTTAGCTTCCCCTTCGCATTTCTCTGTCACACCTTCCCTCCCATAAGTTATTATCCTCCCATCACTTTCCCTTTTCTTCTCTTTCTGTTCCTCCGTCCCTCCATCCTCATCTCTAACATCTGTGTGGCTGCCTGTTCTGCTTCTAAACGGATCGTTTCTGCCTCTTTCACTTGTGAATGTTGCCCACTGGTAATGCCGATGTATGTGAGCGTGTGAATGGGGGTAGTAAATGGGGTAAAAGCAAAGTTTATGTTGTTTTTTTCTGCTTGTTGCAAAACACAAGTAGGGTGACAGAGCCCAAAGCCATTTCTTGTCTGAGGTCATTTCAGCCAGCTTGGCGAGCAAGGGCTCATTTCTCAATTCATACAAAACTTTTCCACCTCCAAATTGATTAGATTTTATTTTGCTGAGGGATTCCGGTTCCTTCCAATATGGGTCACTAACTCAGCATGGAGTCGAGGGGGAACCTGCCTGCAGCCTGATTTTATTTGCCAAACTCAGCTCAGGACCCGGATCATTGAGAAAATAAGGGGAGGAAAAGTGAAGGCTGCGAATGACACTTACCTAGAGGTTAAAATGTCTTGTGATTATATATAGATGTGTGTGTGTGTGTGTGTGTGTGTGTGTGTGTGTGTGTGTGTGTGTGTGTGTTAGGGAGAGAAAGAACAAACTAGAGAAATATGTGTCTTTGGTATTTAACCAAACAAAGGGTGTTCATCCATGGTGCTGATGTTACCACGACAACAAAAAGACAAAGGTTGACCAGAACAGGGAATGTGAGCCAGATATGACCTTGCAGCACCAGCGGACCTGTGTGTGTGTTTCTGTGTGTGAAGTTTTGCCATGTGGTGCACAAAGTTCATCATTTTGATGTCACAGAAGCGCCGACATTTTGACATAACATTTCCTGATTGTATTTGCTCATTGTGATCTAAAGTCTGGACTGATTGTGCATCTGGCAGGTTTGCTGATCCTGAAAATGTTGCTCTGAACTAATTTCGCATTACACATCAGTGCGCGCGTGTGTGTGTGTGTGTGTGTGTGTGTGTTTGCACAAGTGTGTGTTGGTACAGAAGGGGCGCAGTGAAGGCAGATATAATTGGTTCTGAATCCTTCGTATTTCTCTTTGACCCCAGCCAGTGATTGATGACCCTCGACTGAAAGAACCCACCCCCACTCTCTCTCTCTCTCTGTCTTTCTCTATATAACTCTAAGGATCACGCCAATTCTGCCCCTCACATCAGCAGAAAGATGGATAGCTCATCCCCCCTCATATGACCATCATAATCGCACAAAGACAGAAAAGCAAAAAGAGAAGAAAGGGGGGAAAAAACTGCATGCACAAAAGAAAAGCTGGCACGGTTTTGAATCAGAGTCAAAATGGCGCCTTTTCCCTCCCCTCGCTCCATGTCTCCTTTCCACCCACGCAACGCAGATATCCCAAGATGCTTTAGGAGCCTGTGACGCATTTTCCCTCTCGTCTGTTTGTTCCCTCATTTTCTTTCCCCTCTACCTGGACCGCAAAGCAAAACCTTCACCTCTCAGTCCCTCCATGATGCTATTCTTTCCTTTCACCTCTCGACTCCCAATTATCTTTACGTTGTCTTCCATTTTTTTAATACAGTTCATTTATATGAGCCTGTCTTTTCGGTTCACACTGGATGATTTAAATTTGTGTAACCTTTTTACAAGAAAGCCATAAAAGGGGGAGCGCCCGAAGACTGTTTCTGTTATAAAACTCTTAATTGATGAAAGTGTGAATTATTATTGACTTGTGTATTGAGCTAAGGCATCCCATTTATTTTCTGCGTGCAACTTTGAACATGTTTGCTTGTGTGTGCATTTAGGGAGGGAAATAAAAGAGAGAAGGCACAAGATGGAAAGAGATGAAGGCGAGGAAGAGGGGAGGAGAGCAGGTTTTTACGAGAGAACTAAAGAGTGTGTGTGTGTGTGTGATATGGAGAGAGAAAGAGAGAGAGCAAATGAAAAAGTAAATGGGGGCGAGAGGATGAAAGAGCGAATAAGGGGTAATGGTGGAGAAAAATTACCAATAGGCCATGGCAGAGAGAGAGCAAAGAACGGAGTCTCCACAAAGAAGGAGTTATGACTGCTGTAGTGATTAGTTCTGTTTTTAGCCCCGCAGAGGTGCAGGTCAATATTCACTGCCTAGTACACGTGTGTGTGTGTGTGTGTGTGTGTGTTGCAAGGGAGAGATATTTGTCTTTTTTTTATATGGAGGACTGGAACCATAGAAAACCAGCACTATCATTATACTACTGAGCTGGCCGACAGCACTGCAATTAACCTGAACACTATTCACACAGGCTTGGAGCTGCATGTGCAGGCACACACACACTTATACACCTCCAACACACAGTCGGTTGCCCCCACAGTGACCTTTTTTTAAGAATCTTTTATTTTCACAAGCTAAGTGCTGCAAGTAGGCCTTCTAATATTTATTTTTTTTAAACTTTGTTTTGATGTTGTCTTGTCTTGTTTAGCTTGTGGGGTATTTGTATCATCTGTTTTGTAATCAGCATTGGTTGATTAAGATGGGGGCACTGTCATTTCTGCGATTTGTATGGATGAATAAATGAAACCTTTGTGAGAACAAAATATATTTTTTGTCAGACATGTGGACCCAGATTTGAAATTGAAAACACATGAATCCCAATCTAAACCACTCTCTCAGTATAATTTCATCATCTGAAAAAGGTGGCCTGGAAAAGGTAGGCATTTTGGAGAATTCTTTGGAAGATTTCAGGCATCAAAATGTCTCAGTAAATTCAGATGTGTGCTCAAACCCAAAATGTAAGCCTACATTCTAAATCTAATAGGATAATTAACTGCAAAGTCAAACAAAATCCAATTTGAGCATGCAGCATTTTCCTCCTGCATTTTTCTGAATGTGTTTCATGTAACGGTCTTCTTTGCACTGTTTAAATGTGATATTAGCTCTGCCTTCGATCCAGCTGAACTTGCGAATCCCTGTGTGGTTCGACTCATACCTGCTACGGCTTCCCTGTTCTCCTTACACCTGGCTCGGGATGACTTACTGTCGTCCTCTTAACCCCTCGTATGTGCTCTCTCTGCGGCTGCTCTCTTTCTCTCTTGCTCTTAATGTGTCCATATTATTACACCATGTTTCTGTTTTTATAAGGAAATGTAGAGTTTTGTAAGGAAACACACCAAGCTAATAGACACACACACTCTTAAAAGCTCTTACACCACCTTGAATGTTAATGTGAACGGCCATTACTATAATATATTCATTATTAGTTGTTTAGTGCGGATTTATCCTAAAACGCCTCATTGTCATTGCTTTTGTGGCTGTCTGTCAGCCGGTCTGAGTGAGGTTCAACCTATTGTTGAGACGAGGTCAATCTGATTGTTCGGGAGGTCAGACTCGTAGAAAACTCAAGCAGATTCATATTCAAGCTCAGGCGATTTAATGTTCGACTCCAACAAAGAAAATTATTATTCTGAAATTATATTAGTTCAATTTATTAGTCCTGCGTTGAAAAATGTCAGTATTCTAATATGAGGCTAGAGAGGTATAGGATTTTTGTTTATAGTTTATAAGAATGAGATGTTTTTAGAAGATATCTGCATTAATATTTTAATATTTTTTCTTTGTTCTAGCCTTTGAAAATTGCATGGCCAGCTGTGGATGGTCTTTGTTTTCTAATCTGTTCAGCCATTCCTACATTTATACACACAAATCATTCATTTTATTTCTTTCTAACCAAGGTGAACAATGTCGCTCTTGGCCATTGACTTCAGTCAACCCTCCCCCCTTTTCTAGCACGCCCTCACCCCAACATACACATACACTTATAAATATACATGCACATAGACACACACAAACACAGCCTCGTCCCGCCTGGTGCTTCCGTCGCGTCACATCGACCAGGGGGCTGGAACCATGCACCTTGACCCTTAACCCCTGACCTGTGACCTCTGTTGTCTGCCTGTGTATGGGCTTTGTGTGTGTGTGTTTTCCAGGGGACATGAAGCAGCTGCTGGTCTGGATCCAACGGAACCTGCTGAAGGAACGGCCCGAGCTCTTTGTCCAGGGAGAGTCTGTGTGAGTGTGTGCGTGCACTTGACACACACTTGATCTGTGTACAACAATACAACCATATATGTTACAAATCACAGCGCCACTGGAACAAAATCATGACTTCAAAATATGTAATATATGTTCAAAATTGCTCTGTAAGAACAGTTTTCAATGTACTGAGTATTTGAAAATGAAAGTGAAGTAGACGGTGAGTCGAGGAGCTTTCTGAAGCATTTTTCCTGCAATTTGAAACTGCTGAAATGCAGGGGAAAAAACAGTCTAGCCTACAGGTTATGGGTTTCAGTAAGATGATTACCTGTGTGCATGAGAACGTGTGTGTGTGTGTGTGTGTGTGTGTGTGTGTGGATCCAGGGCTCACAGCAGCCTTACAGGACTAGCTGACTTTTAGAGCTGCCTTTGTGCAGGACTATTTATAGCACCACATAACCAATGAATGAAGAAAAAGCTGAACTACCTATAAACCCTTTAGATTAGATGTGTGTGTTTGTGTGCACTCTATTTTGGCAGCAAACACTCTTTTTAAGCAAACCATCATCAAGGTGTTTCTTCATTATCTTTTAAAAATGAACTATGTACAATCTTGACCTGTTTAAAAAAAAAAAAAAAAAAAAAAATTTTGTTCTTTCTCAACGCAGCCCTGTTTTTGTGTGTGTGTGTTTTCATGCCGCTTGTGTAGACCCACGTTTGTACTCACAGGTTCCTCTCACAGTGCCCTTTCTCATTGACGTCATAGAGCATCTACAAGGTGGAAAGAAGCTCACTTGAACCGCATAAGAGGCATCAATATCTGTTTAAGGCATTATCTCGCCACCTAAACTGTTTACTCTGTGGCTTTCAGCAGAAAAATACCCAACTTGTTTAAGAAGACTGTACCCATAGGTGCCTGTTGTTATCCTCCCCCATTATCCCCATTATCCTCCTTTGAAGGGTGGTGGAAAAAAAATTAAGGCTTCCTCTGTATGTTATTTTTGGGCCCCCATTAATTTCCGTTGACAGATTGTTTTCCCCCCACAATCTCCCTACTCTTTTACTTCAGCCACTTATGTATGTTTTATTAAAAAAAAACATGAACGTTACTTTCAGTCCTTGTTAGCCAGAAAACAATTCAGTAATTTGTAATTGGTAATACAAGTGCTCTCTGCATGTTATCAGATAGAGCAGTTTAAATGTACATAGCTTTATCGGTAGTGAGAGTAACCCCAATGTGCTTGTTTATGGTCCTGTATGGGCTGTAACATGAACATAACACACCCATGCAGTCACTTACACTGATAGATTTATTATCATAAAAAATAATAATAATAATATGTGTTTGTTCCTCAAACAAAATGCTGGTTGTCTTTTATTTTTATACTGTGAAGTGTTGAAAACACCAGGTTTGATTTCTTGTCTTTTTCTGGGCTACATTTTACTTTAAATTGTAAAAAACAAAACAAAACAACAAAAAACAATTTAAAATATTTCAATAAAAATGTTCAATTACTTTCAAGTGTCTTTATTATGTTTTTTTTATAAGGAAATTTATATTGGTTGATTATAACTGTTAGACAGGCGGTGTTCACAAACATATGACCTCTTTGTCACAATTCATCACCTAGAGAATGTAAAGACTAAACTCTAATTGGTAATAATTAATTAGAATGTAATTAGTGATAATATATGTATTTAAAAATATGTTTTAATTAGACAGGCTTCGATTCAGAAAAAAAATACAAATCTCCGCTCCAAGAAAGCAATACCTATAGCTCTCATTCATTAAACATCATTTTAATCTTTATTGTAGCTCCTGTTTCACAAATTTAGTTTTCAAATTTCAGTTTGTATTTTGTCTTAATTTAAAAAAAAAAAAAAAAAAAAAAAAAGCTTTCCTGCTTTACCTGTTTGTGTCTTTTACACGCTTGTGTTTGCATCTCTATTCCCTTTGGGAAATGCGTCTCACTGAAAACAGTGTGTTTTCCCACAGGAGACCTGGGATTCTGGTGCTTATCAATGATGCAGACTGGGAGCTAATGGTGAGCACTTGGAGCCGTGTTCCCTGTCAGATGGGGTACTGTGTGTGTGTGTGTGTGTGTGATTCCTGCAGCTTTTAAAAACATGCATTTTTTTTGTATTTTTAGCTATTTTAACCCATGTTGTCTGTTTTCAGGATGCCCCATTGCAGTGTTAAATGATTTGAGCTTATGTATACAGTTGTGTTCATGTGTTCATGCATAGGTCCCTTTAACTAAAAAAATTGCTTGTGCAGACGTTCAGGAGGAGGAAGGTTGGCCTATATGTTCACCGATACTGAGATTGTTAATTTTCTCTGAGTGAGCTCATGTGAAAGCAGCTGCAAGACATGTTTGTCCATGGGGTCTCATATCTGAACACATATTTACATGCGCACCCAGTCTGAGCACTTCAGTTTGAATCCATTGATTCAATTACAGGACACAACACGGGATGTAAATGAAATGCAAAGTTTGTCATTGATTGGACACCAATGGGAACACAGGAGTAATACACAAATTTGTACTGGTAAAGACAGATATTTCTCCTTTCACTTGTAGAGGTGTTAGAATATTGAATATTTTGTGTGTTTTCTAAACCTTAGGGGGAGCTGGACTACCAACTACAAGACCAAGACAACGTCGTGTTTATTTCTACTCTTCATGGTGGATAAAAAATGAATTGAGGAATACAAACATCTTCTGTAACGGCCGTTTCTCCACATCCTCTTCACTGTTTCACCCCCCTCCCCCCCCCATCTCAACAACACGCCACCCCGTTTGATGCTGCTATTGCCCCGTGACATCTGAGGTGATTGATGTCGGCCCGCAGGAATGAGTGAAAATTCAGAGATGGTTACCAGGAAAAATGTGGAAACTGTGAGACAGGAATTCTGTGGACACATGCGTACATTTTTTCAAATCAAACTGGACAGGTTTAAAGGGCAGTCGCAGGGAGCTGCAGTTGAACTGGTCAACTAACAGTTGTGTAAATACCTACAGTTGGCGTGTAAACCTTCATCTCCCTACATCCTCTCCTCTAGCATGACTGAAAGATCAAATGACCTCATCTTGAGGTCTAATGACCTTCAGTTCACACAAATATAAAAGAAAAGGTAACACTTTACTTCAACCCGCCCTAATTAGCATTTCTAAGCTGTAACATTTAATAAATTGTTCATAACGCATGTGTGATGTGATGTAGTTATAAGCAGATATGAGGACATTTTATTAATGTTTTATGAATGTCAACAATTCTAACTTTTCCTATGAAGATACATTTTATATGATAACTATTATACTATTGTCATGAATCATCTTATACACTAGCAACCAGTTATGGATGTTTCCTTAATAAACAAAACTTACAACTACATTATAGAGTGATAAATGTTAATTTAGTGTTAAGGAATGCTAATTAGGGTGCAATAAAGTGTTACACATAGAAGAAAGTAGAAGAGAGTTTTTTTTGCCTCTTTTTTTGGACCCATGTGATGGGGATAAAAAGTTGTTTTCTTAAAATATATTTTATTGTAATTGCTTGTGATATTTTTCCTCAAAAAATGATAAAAGATTAAAAGTTTTTTTTAATCATATCTGGATCTATTTTTTTTTTTATGCCATGGAATTGCACTCTTAATATTTATTTAATATGTATTGCTGGCAGGAATTTCCATTTATAAACATAGCAGTGAAATAAGGAATTTAAAATATAATAAATTAGGAAAATGTAGCTCTTACATACTATTGTCTTTGTCTTGCAATTGCACTGATATGTGTCAACTCGTGTCAACTCTTGTCAATGTTAGGATGCTTGTTCTCACTCTAAATGTTATTCTTCTACAAATCCCAAACCCACATTGTGTTTCTGCACTTTGCGAACTCCGAAGAGTCCAGTTTTGGCTGCAAGGACCCAAACCACAGTGTACATCGCACAGAGAGGCCTGTAGCCAAATGCTTTTCTCAATTAGGATTTTACATCACGCTTCGATAATTCCTGGTGATATCTTATATCTGATCGATTTAAGCCCAGCTCTGTGATCACACTGCAGTTTTAGGCTGATTAAAGGACACAGGGGAAATTTTTTACTATAGCCCCACTCAGCTGGAATATTCATAAAGGGGGGGTGAACTACAGGACCACTGCGGGAGGTCGAGGTCTAGCCTCCGGGCAGCCCTCCCATGAACGCTCGGGGCGACCTAAAATCTTTTCTCGGTTGTGGAGTCCGATTTGCAACGGGAAACCGACCGATAATGGCCGGTAGAAAGGAAATGCTAATGAGGCTGCGAGGGGGTTGGAGAGGAGAAAATGTATCTCTGTATCAGCTGGTTATAGGCCTGGGGTACTGAGTGTGTGCGAGATGGAGACTTTTACAGAGTGAGGAGATGAGTAAAGACTGATTCTGCATATGTGTGTAGGCCTGATGCCTCTTAGGCTCCTCATTTCAAATGTTGCATCTTTTTTCAATTTGTTTGGATCAACTATTGAGAACATCAAAGGTTTCAAAGTTGTTCAAGCTCTTGTTTTACTTTAAAATTATCTGTTATAGCCTAGATACATACTTTATTTTTCCATAATTCGTGTGCAAATCTATTGTTATGTAGGCTACTAGAGATAGAATATGAGCTCAGTTATAAATACTGGCGGTCTTCCGTCAGTCCTGCACGGTTTATAGTTTAGTCCACATGTCCATAGCCTGCACACTGACCGGCTGACTGCTCAGCAGGAGAGATAGTGACAATGCTGGTGGGGAGAGAGTCGACCTGGCCTCACCATCAGATCACAGGCGTGTATCACAACGAACACAGAACAACAGTTCAGGTTACAACACTGCCTGGGTAAGCTATAAAAAATGCCTGTGATCTCCAGGCTGTGAACAACCATAAAGTAAACACTAGCCAACACACGAACTGCCAGACTATGGTTTTACATAATAGCATTGATCTAGTGTTTATTTATTTTTCCTTTCAGACTGACAGTATGATCCTTTTTGTAATTGGATTTGTTCTATAACGAAAAAGAGCAAAACTCAAGTGCATCCCTGCATTAAAGAAAATGTACATTTACCACAAAAATTTCGATCATGTTAACACAATTTTAAACGTTTTAATTAGACTTGTTTGTGTATAAGTGACACCTGTCGCTTTTTTGGGCTAAAAGCAACTGTTGCCAGATTTGCTCTCCATCTTGTTTTCCTCTTGCATCCATAGGCTCCCATAGTTTCCTGCAGTGCTGAAGCTCAATGCATGTCAGCTGTATGTGAACAGAACACTGTAGTTCGAATATACAGCTCAAATTGAGCAAACCAATGAAAACTAAGCTTACAGCCAAGTGCCTCTTAATTGTATTGTTTTAGTATCTACCGCCACATTCAGAATATTACAGGACTCAGCTCTAACAACACTGTAACCTGCTGATTAAAAAATTTAAAAAGGAGCTCTTTGTGGGAAACACATTCCTGTAATGCATTAGTTTTTTTTTGTTAAAACGCATAAAGTGCACAAATCATGCATTTGTGCAGAAAAGGTTACAGATATTACAATATCTAGCATGCGGTTGTAATTCAGAGGCTACCAGTAGTCTGTAAAATAAATGAAGAGAAACAGTAGAGACTTGCAGAGTCCATTTCACACAGAAGCATTTCTGCATGGGCAAACATGATGCACTGATCCCCTGGAATTAAGAAAGGTTAGCCTTTCATGTTCAACAACAACACGCACGTTGGCTGTTGTGTGTGTGTGTGTGTGTGTGTGTGTGTGTGTGTGGGTGGGTGTATGTGTGTGTTTAGTGTTTTGAATTTAATTGTGAGTCTACAACAGCGAAAAAAAATCAAAGACATTTAAAAAAAAGATATTTAAAATAAGAAAATAGCTAGAGGTAATATATTTTTGATATACGTTTTGCATTAAAACGTGAATCGTGTTTATTATTTATTGGATTAATCTTAGTTTTAATGTTTAATAATTTCTCGTTTAAAAACAATTTGAACTATTTTAACGTTGTAAAATCATTAAATTTTAAAAAGGAATAAAAAGTGATTGGATAAAAACATCTAATGAATCAAAAGGTGTCCCACGTGATTAATCTGTGACGCTGTTTGGCTCCAGAGAATTGGCAGCATCAACCATCAGGCCTCTTCTGTGTGTTTTCTGTTGTTACAGTACAGTAAACACCTTTAAATTAAGTACATTGCCTTTGCCTTTACCTTAGAAGAACTAAATGTCTTTTAAAAATTATGTTTTAAGTAATAGGCCTATATGTGATTAACTGGCATCCTGTGTGATGCACTTTAGGCTTTGCCTTAATAAGCTCTTAATACCCTATTAATATTAGAAATTATTTAAGAAGCTATTTTACCACCAAATGTAGTTTTAACGAAAACCTTTTTTTAATGTAGGCTATCAAATCTTCCACGTTTATTTGTATTTATCCTCCTCGTCCATGACTTCAAATATCAGAGAAGGTCTTTTTTTATTATTATTTTTTTTTAGCTTTGCTCGTCTCATCCACAGCGTGCATCTGTGCTGCATGCAGGCCTCACTCTGTGACCACTCAACTTACTGCTTTCTACTATTTGCCAAACACAGTCGATACATCAATGCTTCTAGTCGATATTTGCCATTTAAAACAAACAGTCTTGATTAGATCTTCGACAAAGTGTAAATATCAATCGGGCCAACCACAACGGACACCCCCGAAAAATACATTACATGAGGCAGAATAGGTTTCCTCCACTTTATTGGCCAAGGCCCGCGCCGTTTTTCTCTATAACATGCTACATGTGGGTTGTATCTTACCTGAAATGTGACAGTTACAAAACCAAACGGGGACTAAAGGCCTTTCTATAGCCTTCTTTGTGGTTTGGAGGCCTACATTCTTGGTATGGCGTTTGGCCAAAGACAGCAGTGATGAATGTGAGTCTGCAGCAACAGATGTCCATACACAATTCTTGGGGGTGAATTTGAGTTTACTCAAGAATTGCGTTTGGACAATCAGTCGCTAAAGACTCTGTAAATGCTCTGCCAAGATTAAAAGAGGAAATTCAGCATTTGATTATTTAAATCACAAGTGTGCACGGGCACAGTTATTATATAGGCCCATGGCTGCACCTGCTATGGCTGCCTAAATGCCCTTTGAGAGTATTGGATGCGTCTGACGCCGAAAACTGTTTTCTTTCCCTTTTTTCCCTACAAGATAAAGAGTTGCAGTACAGTGCATTATTTTTGACACTCTCCCTGCTCAGCAGTGCCTCTGATTCGCCTTTTCCTTTGGAAAATTAGCTTTCCTGTGCATCTCCAAAACTGAGTTGTTGCAGCAGAAAACTAAACCCCAAGACATAAAAAATATATTCAAATAGCCTGCAGTGCAACTTTCCTTCAAACTCCAAAATGCTTGAGCACACTCCGTTAATAAATGTCAGCTAGAAGCTGATCTCTGTTGGACTGATCGCCACATTAGAAGAAACTCCCGTCTTTTGAGGAATTGTTTGATAATGCTAAGGAGGCATTGTTAAAGCTGTGTGACTTTTAAAAAAAATGCTGTATGAAATAGCTACCATTATCTCCCCAAGTCTTTACACTGGTTGCTAGTTGTAAAGTTAACCCCAAGTCTGTCCAGATCTCTGGGCCCTTAAGATGGCTGAACGGTCGTTGCATCTTTAAGTAAAAATGTCATCTCCTTCGGTACACCAGAGATTATTACTTTTAAAGTGTCTCAAAAACGGTGTAAAAGACAGGAATCAAACAGCTCAACTGGACTTTCCTTCATTTTAAAGTTCGAGGTGAGAACGCCAGGAAAACGTTTCGCCATTCCTGCACCTGTGCTCTGTCATCGATTTAGGGAAAGACTGTTCAGTTCTGGTGCCTCAAGATGCACAATGGCTTTCCACGGATGTTAAATAATAAAAAAAAATCCTCTCCTATTTGAAGAAATACACTTGGAGCGTTCATGTTCTTTCCTCTGGGGTTTTATAGCTGGTAATGAAACCGAAATGAAAAAATAAATAAATAAAAATTGGAAACCCCTTTAGTTCCCGTTGGTGCGTCCTTGGTTCAGTTCCCACGACGTGCGTTCTCTCGGATCGCTCTGCTCCGTCCAAATGCCCCCCAGCGAGCAGCGTTGGATGCTGACAAAAAGAGGCTGAGGAGGAGCAGGAGAGCAGCGGGCTTCGTACACTCCGGACAGACGCTCCTGCCTTCCTTCCATCCTTCCTTTACGGGTCTCTCGGACTGACTGGCTGACTGGATGGATGTCTCTCTGCCCTCCTGGCTTTTTCTTTACGCTGCTCCAACAATGAACGCTGCGGCCGCGACGCAAGGCGGAGAGAGGAGTGGAGAAGGTCCTCGCTTGGTACTGAATTTGAATAACACCACGGGGTGATAAATGTCCATTGTACTGCTTAAGTAATGAATCTCCGCTGTCCTCTGTGTCACACACACACACACACACACACACACACACACACACACACACACACACACACGCCAGCAGCTGCGATGAGGGACCAGCAGCCCCTCTTAAAGACACAACAGCCCTATTTTCTACCCAAAAAGAGATTACAATCCCGACACTGTTTACTCTCTGACCGCACTGCAT